CCCCACAAGTACCTTCGCATCTTTTTATAAACCAATTTCTGGACTCTCCCGTTCCACTGATATGTCTATCTTTATGCCAATACTTCATAATAAATTCAAGTCGTCATCATTTGTGTGGTACTGATGATGGTCTCTTATTTTTTCCCTTCCAGTTTTGTGACCCTTCAAGCTCATTCTCCAGGATTACAGCCAAGGTATTTTTCTTAAGTGCAAATCTGCCATTCATCAGTCCCTCTCAACCATGAGATAAAACCAAAACTCCATTAATTTGGTCTTTCGAATTCTAGCTCTAGTTTGATCTATTTTTACCATTCCCTCATCCAAATTCAATGCTCCAAACACTGTTCTCTCTCACCCTGTGCACTTGCTGTGTGCTTTATCTCAGATGCCCTCATCTTCATTCTCCCACTTTTGCCTGGCAAATACTCACCACTTCCCCTGGAATTCTCACCTGGACTTAGACAGCTTTGACTGTTCTCACCTTGATGCTCATTCAACACTCTAATTAGCCTATCACACCAACTGGCACATTATTTTAATTACCCACTTGTCTCCCCTACCAGATCATAGCTCCTTGGGATACAGCAGATGCTCAATGTTTGAATGAGTATAAGGATGAACAAGACAGTTCCTTGTTCTTCAGAAGCTCCCAATATGGTATGGTATGGTATATGGTATGCAGAGCAGTAAACTATCGATCCTGTCACTGCCCACCCCACATGTCCAGTGCTTTCTAGGTCTGTTGTTTCATAGTGCCTTGTTTCCTAGAAGGGATAACCTTTGTGTATTGGTCACTGTATTAAAATAAATCACTTGTAAGGATAATATGTGGAGGAAGCTATTCTCTTCCTAGGACTTCGAACTTCTATCTGCTCCTGGCCACCTTCTGAGGACACTGCCAGAGAACTCACCTCAATCCAAGTTTGGAGTCTGACATTCCCTGAACCACTCCAAGATGAAAGTCTCAATCAGGATTGTTTCCTCAGGTGACCTTTACTCTGGGGAATGCTCTGCTGATTTCTGGCTTTAAATTAGTTCTGATGGGTGGGATGCTGGTGTAGTGGGTCAGACTCCTTGTTTTGTTTTCTGGGCAACATTCCCTGTCATATTGCTGACACAGTGGCTCAGCTTTATAATCTCCTCTCAATTGATAAATGAATGCCCTAGGGACGAAAGGAACGGAGTGCTAGCCTCAGCTCTCTGTTTAGTGCAAACTGAAAGACCAATTTCAACCTTACCCTCATTCACGAGGCCTACACATCATCTGGCCATTGGCTGCTGCTCCCCCACTGGCTTGCTCTGAACCAGCCACATCATCATCTAGGTCGGTGTTCATACAAATCCTGTCCCAGGGCTTCTACACTTGGGACCATGGTACTTGCCGAGAACCCACCGACAATGTTTGTAATTTTCAAGCCATTACAGTTCCTCTTGCAGTCAACTCATTTCTGTGATTACCAAAAACTGCTATTTGTCTGCACCTTTTAGGGCTCATCACTTTTGATGTATTGTTTTTCTTTCTTATCCCGCCTATAACATAGAGTCTTTGAAGATATGTGCTTTCTTTTATCTGTCATCCTTCTTAGCATAGAAAGTACTAAGTACTTGCTCAATGCCGTTTTTAACCGTAATGAGTATTACGTTTACCTTTATGATCTCGGGTCGCCTCAGATATATTTAGCTTAGAACAATTATATTCTTAATTTGTAAATATATTCTAGGTAACTAATTTACCTCAGAGATACAGCAAAAAATACGAGAACTTTTTTTTAAAAATAAAACCAGTGAAAAATGGTTAATGATTTACTTCAAAGTAAATTTTTTCAGACTCTCTGGGGTAGGAAGGGTAGGGCGTTCTGCTGTGACACTTCATACAGATGGTGGTTTAGATGTAGGTTTCAAAACTGCTAGCACCTGAGTAAGTTTCTTTGGAAAAGTTAGTATAAAAATACAAGTACAATCAAATTAATTTAACAAACATTTATTAAAAGCTTATAGGATAGGTATTGTGTGCTACATGCTGGGGACACAAGCACCACTGAGACACTGTCCCTTCTGTTAAAGAACCCAGGATAGAAAGCTGGTAATGGGTGGGAAGGGAAGAAGGACAAAGATGCCCTTGTAACTAATTTGAACTGGAAAAAAAGCAGATGAACATTCTAGGAACATGGATAATGTTAGCCAAGTACAGGTAGTCTTGTTTTGCTACCATTTATGGAACAAGGTGTGTGGACGGCTGAAGAGCAGCCTGGGAACACCAGGATCATGGCAATGGCACTGGAGGGAAGGGAGAAATTTCAGATATATATTTTTTTAAGATAGGCTGAATAGAGATTAATGATGAAAAAGGTCAGAGAGGACTAGTAAGTAGTGGCAATTCTTCATTTGGATAACTAGGCTGGATAGAAATGCCATCGTGGGGGCGCCTGGGTGGCTCAGTTGGTTAAGCGTCTGCCTTCAGCTTAGGTCGTGATCCCAGGGTGATCAAGCCCCACGTCAGGGTCCCTACTCAGCTGGGAGCCTGCTTCTCCCTCTCCCACTCCCCCTGCTTGTATTCCCTCTCTCACTGTGTCTCTGTCAAATAAATAAATAAAATCTTTAAAAAAAAAAGAAAGAAAGAAATGCCATTGTGACAGGAAAGAGAAATATGTTTTTGGGGGTGTGAGAGGGGACATAGAAATTTTAATGTTAAGTTGGATACCTTTTCTACAGGATATAGCCATCCTTATTAGGTTCTTGCCTGATGAGTTTTATCTACCCACAATAGGTCCTTGAAGGCCAAGCACCTATATGAGAAGATAATTTCTACCTTAGTTTCTTATTTCAACTTTCATTATTAAAACATTTCCATACTCCACTGAACTGGAAAGAGCACACAGGTACTCCCACTCATATATTTTGCCTTAAGCAAACATTAAAAAGAAATCTCATAAGCAATTTAAAATATTTATTGACAGGAATTCTCAGCAGGACAGATACAGAACCACTGTAGCCTTGGCCCATATTATCCAAGTATAGAAAACCCTTAGTTGCGTCATTTTTCAATTCAGTTCATATTTAATTTTGCCGTATGTTAGAGTGAAAAGTACCAAGGAATATAGGGATTTCAACAGAATCATTTATCCACAGTGGCTTAAACCTTCTATGAGAGGTAGAAATTATTTTAAGGATTATAATAAAGGGAGAGAGTGTCATCAAAGCACAAAGGAAGATGGATCTTGCATTTATCTAACCAGCTACTCATCTATTGTTGAGGGCTGCAGAAATAGCATGTAGAGATAAGGCAGTTTTATGGTAGAACAGCTACCCCAATGAGGAGTAAGGTGCTCCTGGGGCAAGCAGATCCCCCATCAACAGAAAACCTAGAATATCAGCAGAGCATATTAAATTTCTTCCTGCTATGAATAATAGAAATGCAGAGAGATATCCCTTCTTCTGCTTATCTCCTTTTCTCTTCTCATAGCTTCAGGAGCCACTCATCTAAGTAAGTTAGTTGATGTGTGTGTATATTCAAGAAAGAATCCCAAAGTTCTCTACAGGATATCCTTATGAATCATACAACTTAAAGTTCAGCAACACCAGACTCATGGTAACTCTAAGCAAGTGCCTGGGTCTCAATTTCCACCTTTTCTGAAAACACCCATCTTTTAATCAGGACTTCTTTAAATAAAGCATGAAGAACCACTAAAATACACTAGGCTACACTACTAAGTAAACATGATCTGTTAAATGAATAAGTGCTTTAGTGACTATCTTCATTCTGTTGCACTTATTTTTGGAAATGGGCATTTTACGGTTTCCACAATCCTTGGAAGATCACAGTCCTTTGTAAAGAGAAACTAGTACATAAGTAAATCTTTACATTATTATAAACTACAAAGAGATTTAATATCTATCCAATTTAATATTCAAGTCTACATAAAATAAATCAATGACAACTGCTTTATTATTAAAAGTTACTGAATTCCATAAAGCACACAATGTAATTTATATTCAACTAACAAAAGTTTGATACATGTATTTAAAAATATATAATATATAGATTTATGTCTTAACATTTATATTCTATTCAAAAAGCAGTAGCTTTACATATTTTACAACTTGAATTTATAAAATATATATACATCCACCCTATTCAAACCCTCAAAAGCATGAGCTTCCATTCCTATTAATAAAATGCACAATCTGTATTTCTGAATATTGAGAGAAAAATGGTACCAACTAAAAACAACAAACCCATTTTAACTTGAACATGGACTTAATTCTTGGCTACTAGATAACTGACATAATAATCTTTTTGAATAATTATTTTACCCTGAGCCTGATAATCAATATTTATGTCAATAATCTGTGGTTAACTATGAAGAGACTTGCATTTATTTTCACGGTGTCTGTCAATCTACCACATTCCTTACTCGATTTGTTTCAGGCTTTAAAATTAGAGAGGTGGGATTATTCAATCTTTCCATTTACCGTGAAATTTGACAAGTGATGTCACACCTAACAAGCCAAAGCCCAGAACCATGCTTTGCCTTTGAGAAAGCAGCTTAAAATTACTGCAGAAGCAAACTTTTCACCCTGACAATGTATGCATCAAGAAACTGTTTCTCTTTTTCCCTGTCAACTGCACTCAACTTGCTCAATTACAATTCTTTAGGCATGTTAAAATATACCAGCTTCTATTCAGGCATTCCTTCCACATATTCAAAATGTCTTCAGATATTATATTGTTTTATTAAAAAATTTTCATAAAAAAAGACATTCATGTAACCATTCTGGAGATTCATCCCTAAATGTAAGTCCCAATAACATTTGAGAATTAAAATCACAATAAACACTTCATTTACAGGACCATAAGAAGCAGAACTTCAACTTTAAGGATAAAGATCTAAGTTTGAAGTACATGTTTAGACTCCACGGGCCTCTGGAATGATGCATACAAGCCTGTCTTTAATGTAGTTTATGCTAAGAAAACAAAAATCTCCCACACATTATTTAAAATAAAAAAAAAAGTTCCAAATCTCAAAATGGCTTAGAAACCTTAAATGGAAAAACACTTTTACCAAAACAAATAATTTAATTCATCTGGGCAATAATTAGGCTTTGCGAGAGTCACCATCCAAAAAGTAAACAAAACTCCCTTGATATTAGTATTTAAGAACTAAATTACTTAGTTAACAGCTCATTTATCAAGTAGTCAACTATTCAACAAATTTAGCCATATACTGATGAACCGAAATAAGGCATCAGAAATTCTATGTATTTTAATTGTAGAAAGAAGTCTTTTTCTTTTAAGAAAAATTTCTGATGTAATTTCACTAATCTTCCTTCTCTGGATTCCCTAACCTCAAGAAAAGGAAAGGGGAAGAAAGGGAGGAAGGCAGGAAAGGAGGAAAGGAAGGAGAGAGGAAAACTTAGGGAAACTGCTGAAGACTGACATATTGGACATCTTTGAGGAGAAAGGAAGACAGAAAAATGAAAGAGAGATAAAAACAAACAAAAGACTGCAAAGAAGATTAGGACCAAGGGGTGCAGATTAAGAGACACCTTCACAGATCTTAATCATGCAAAGGCACTAGCATAACACAGAATCGTGCAGTAGCTGATTTGGTAACAGTGAATCCGCAGAAAAGATATGGGAAAGCCTCAGTTCTTTTTGAAAACCAATTTATATACACTTAATAAATCCTAAGCATTCAGCTAAAATATATACAGGAAACTAAATAAAAGTGAGATCAAGAAATATAAGCAGCAGTAACCATGAAGGATTAGAACTAGTGACACTGAATTCTTTATTTAAAAAAATTCTGAACACACAGTACCTCCTCTTCTCTTCTATTTTTAGGAAGAAGCTTTAACAAGTTTTAAATATCTCAATTCTCAAAAACAATAGGCTTTTTAAAAAATAAGACTTGATTACCAGAAACAAGTAATATGTGGTTACATACCATTTGCATATCACTACTCATTTCCATTATTTGTCAATTCATCTTTGATGCAATCTGGAAATAATTAAGCAGTCACTAGATACCTGTTTAAGAATCTGAAGAAATTATTATTCACCACAGGAATCTAATGATATATATTTGCATATATTTAAAATTTCAGAAGGGAAAAACTAATCAACTACCCTAGTTACTTTATACCAAATATTTATATACCTAATCAAAACAATAAGGATTAAGATCTTTCTCCAGATGAACCGTATATAAAAGCTGATTTTTACCATTTTCTTTTGGGGATTAAAAAAAGCTTTATTTCCTTGCTAGCTAAAAGGAGGAATTCATCCACTACAAGTTAAGTCCTTTAAAGGTGAATAGTAAATTCCTTAAGAGAACAGCCATAAAATTTATTTTAAAAAATTTATCTTAAAAAAAACTGAAAACCATTTTTCTCTTTAAAATCTATGGCATTAATACCTACTTGATGTAATGTATTTTTTTGAAGGGCACCAAGTTCATGATCTAAGCATGCAAAAGAAGGAAATGAATGTATCACTGTCTTAACAGAATTTGGCAAACCAGAAGAATGGCCTTAAAATAAATAAATAAATAAATAAATAGAGAGTACATATTGTCTAAATATGAAAGTATAATTCTGCAGTCCTATGCAGCAGATAGTGCCCCATAGAGCAAGGGAAGAGGGAAGTAGCATAATCCTATGTACATTTTCTTGGTATTCTGGTTGTCGTTCAACAACACAATACAGAGAAATATTCTTTTTATTATTACAAAGCCATTAAATGCCCTCTCTAGAGCAATGACTTAGGTAAACGGCTTATTGTCTTTTAATAATGTAACTTACATTTAAAATTAACTTAATTAAATCTAAGTGCAAAGGAGTTTCCAATAATTCCTACGTTCAAGGGAGTACTGTAATGAATAAGGTGTTATCTTACTGCAAATTCTGAATGGTTGGTATTTCCATCTTATCTTCTCTTTAAACCATAAAATGTACTGAAATTATTTGGTTTCCTTTACTTTCCTCTACTTCTTTTTATTTTTATGGTATCTCTATGTAGAGAAAGAGGTATGTTAAAATACTGCTTCTTTTGTTTTAAAAAACTCAACTGAGGCTATATAAGACCTATTAATCTATAGGACAGCATTGTTAATCTTTGACCTGGTATATTAATTCCTTTGGTGAATAAATGTCACAGGTCATTTCTTTATAAAAGAATTTTAGTAAGAGGACCAGCAGTACGGAGAAAGATCCCCCACCCCCACCCCAGAAAATGATCAAGTCAATCAGTAGTTTAGAGCAGTTGTGTAAAATATGAAAAATATATAATATGCCGCTGCAATTTTCATATTAAAAAGCAGTTAAAAACTAAGAGTAGCTCAAAGCATTCCAAAAAACACTTTCTGTCTTAAAACAGGCCAAATGATCAGACTGATAGAGACTATTATGAGAACTTAGGTGTATCTAGTCAAGAAAGAACAAAAATGTGTTTAATTTTAAAAAGTGGTAGTTGCTAACTATAGTATAAACAGTGTCCACAATTTGGTGGCTGGCCATAGTTTTAATTTTTTTTTTCAAGTTATTTCTACAGCAGACATATTTTTGAAGTCTACCCACCCCTGAGTTCAGCAATTATACTTTTAGAGTGTAAAATTATATGCCCTTAATTAACAACATGTACAAAGCTACAAAATGTCATCTATACAGAGATTAAAAACAATTTTGAAAATATTCCTTGCCAATTATTGATTGGATGTTTTGCTGGGGTACATATTTGAAAGCTTTCAGCCAATTGGCTTTTATTTTTAAGCCCAAATTGATTCATATATTTATTCACTGCAGGATATGTCAAAAAGAGTGCAACAAGAGGCATTAGTAAAAATAACATTGTAGTAGAAACAGATTTTTGCATATGTGAAAAGGTAATTTATAAAATACATAATTGCTTTTTAAAAAGAGAACCTAGTTGCAGTATCATTAACTTACATGGTACTGAGAATTGGACGTTTCAACAATTTTTTTCTATAGAAAAATTTTACCTAGCTGTAAGCAAAGTCTTTTAAACAACAAGAAAACAAAATAAAACAAATCCCTCCAGGAAAAACTGTACGGTTGTGTGAGACAAATAAGAAAACATACCATCCTATAGTATACTTTTGCCTAAATTTAAAATAAAAATGTCCACACTCTTTTGTTAAAACATTAAGCCTCTGTCAAAAATGTATTTCTTATTTTAGGGTACAGGATTAAAGGACAAAATGATACTTACAAGTAAAGAAAAAATTACAAGAAAAAACTTGACAAAAGCTTTTCAATTGAAGTACTGTAACATTCAAACTTGACTTAAAACATAACAAAAGAAACAAAATTGCAAACGAAAACTCTTTATGGATTTTCCAAACATAAATAAATGAAATAGTGTTTAGGCAGTAGGGCTCATGCTGATGGCTAGCAGGAAGTAACAGAGTGTAATCTACTTGGAAATATCGTTACTGTACAAACAAGCCTCAATTACGGACTACAGCAGTTTCATCATCACTGCCATTGTTCTTACTTCCAAAATCAAGCCTTGATTCAACCATTCATACCCTAGATTACTCATACCTTTACTTCAGAGATTGAGGAACTATATACAACAAATGAATTTATTTTCACCATAGGGATAACAATATTGTACCTCTCTGCCAATGTTACTTGAAAACCTTCCATGTCAAAACAATTTGACAGCAGATATAAACAATTCAATAAATACGCAATGATCTTTCATTATAGTCCTTTAAAGACGCATGTTAATTCATGCTGTTAACCTTAGGATCACAGTGCATAGAATCCAAATATAAACAGTTGGGGTGACTTTCAAAGTAATGTTGGATCCCTCACTTTATTTATAATCCCACTATAACCAATAAGTTCATTTCATAGGCCCTATCATGCATTAATTATTGGGTGGCAGGAGTTAATGAAAATTTTTCCTGTTAAACGTCCATTGCCGGCAATGAACGTCCCAAAACCGCCAAGGAAGTCATTGTTATTGCACAATACATGAGGACCTGGAACTTTTCCAAAAGCTTAAAAAAATAAAAATAAAAAATGGAATTATATTGACATTTCCTGACACCTGCATTAATACTGTATGACTAATAAAAGCATGTCAGTTGCCTGGACTGAACCAGCGATCAACATGCGCCCAGAATGCACACAAGTAAAAATGCAGTAAAAGGAAGTAGTCTTCATTGCCTATAGGTCACTTCCAGTCAAAGGTTAAAGTTCAAAGACTGAATGATCAAAGTGCTCATTTTCTCAGTAGGACTATCTTCTGCTAGGAGGATGATAACAGTGGCATCAACAAGTATCATCATGATACCTCCATTTTGTTTTCTTTGGATTCTTGTTACATGTTCGAACATAAAAAGAATTATCTGGTGGTCGTCTCTTTTCTTTGCAGCTGGAAAGCATGCTAATAATGCTAAGACAAACTGACTGGACTGAGAGCGCTGGGGACCAGTCTTCTGTTAGAATGGATAAGCAGATACGACCATTGCTATAAACATGAGGATGAACGGGAATATTTTCACCAGTAAACATGACCTGAGGAGAGTCAAAAGGATATCGACTACTAAACTTAAATAGAAACTGAAAGTTTTCCCCTTCATATAAGGTACCTGGTGCACCTTCCATGTCTACAATCCACTGTGTAATTGAATTCTGAACACTCTTTTCATTTAATGTCATTCCGGGAGGTGGGTCATTTTGCAAAGCCAACAGTTCTTTCTGCAGTCGTTTCTGCATTGACACCATGATGGAACCATCCCCCCAAAGCCGGCGAGGCCAGAGACCATAAATCTTCTTAAAAAATGAATTTTTCTATGTTAGGATGGGACACAAAGTCATATTCATTTGGATGTTAAATATGTTATGATCTTATTATATCCTGAGCTGATGAGATGGATGTATATAGCAATATGTTTTGTATTGTTGTTGTTATAGGTTGGGGAGAGGGGGCTCTTTTTTAAAGAACACCTTTAATCCAACCACTCAGAATCAAACACTGTTAGTATTTGGGGACATATACTTTCAGAAATATTTCCCGAGTAAATGTATAAATGCAGATATGAGACAGTCCCCCCAAAATTAGATAATATTATACAAACTGTTTTATAGTCTGTTTCCTCATTGTAAAAAATGTGAATAACTGAGGCACCTGGGTGGCTTAGTCAGTTGGGCATCCGAATCTTGATTTGGGCACTCAGTCGTGGTCTCGGGGTTGTGGGGTCAAACCCCATGTTGGGCTCTGCACTCAGCATAGAGTCTCCCTCTCCTCTTCCCCCCGCTCATGCTCGCTCTCTCTCTCAAATAAATAAATAAATAAATAATCTTTTTAAAAATGTGAATAACTTCCCATATCAAATATAGATCTGCATCACTTATAATAATTCAATTATTTTCCATTGAATGACTGTATCATAGCTTCTGAATCAGTTCCATGTTAATGAATAATTTGAGCATCAATTTTAATATATAATAAGTAGCATTGTAGGGAAAATCCATTATGTCCATTCCTTTGACAACGACTCTCATTATCTCTTCCAGAACGGTTGCAATGGCTTCATACATAGTATCATTTTGTCTGGTCTTGGCTCTTTCAAAATGATTCTCTACTAACTAACAGTCTCTCTACACCAGTTTTCTGAATTCTGAAAGAATACAGAATTCTTCACAAGCTAGATTCTGCTGACATTACTTATAATTTGATTTGGAGTGCAGTATTCTTTTTACAACCTGATATGAAGAGCAATCTCTGTTTGAAAAGGACTACCCTCTCCATCATTAATGAAACTGTAGTCTTGAATTATAGAAAGCATCCTTTAGTTATACAAGCCCACAGTACTGTTCACTAGGGCCACCCCCAGGGTGCGTGGGGCCCTAGGGGTGATTTTAAAATGTATTGCAAAACTCATGGGTCCGTATGAAGCATAGTGATTATTAATCACAAATAATGGATAGAGAAAGATACTTAAAATTAAATTATTGTTCTGTCAGTGAAGATTCTTCAGAGGGTCTGCGCACCATTTTTTCCTGTTCGGGTCTATCATTTCTTCTTTTTTTAACTGTCAAATGTGTCATGAGTATAAAATACTCCTATGTTATATATCCTGTGTCCTATGAGAAAATGTCCTATGAGAAAAAAGTAGCCACAATACTTGTTCACAATACTCTAGACCTTCAGAAGCTTTTTGTGTTGAAACAACATAGATCTTCTTGCCTTTGCACTTCCCAAATACCATTTATTTTGTGCTGGTTATTTCGTTACTCACAATGCTGCACCATCCATTGTACTGCCTATGAAGCTGGCTTCTAATGATTCTCTCAAAGGTCGTTACTGTGCTTCATTGGTGAAGACCATAAACACAAGACTTACCCAGAGTAATAAGGGGAAATGTGGATAGTAATTTGTTTTCTGGCTGTGTTAAATTTATTATCCAAAATTTGATAGCATAAACAAAACAATACATCTTCCAGCCATGTCTTCCCTGTAATTAGCGCATTCTTAAAATGCGAATTCTTTCCGTGTTAACCATACACCTGCCTTCCACAGCCTGCCACATTTAAGGAGGAAAGGCAGGGCCCTGTGGTTGCTATAAGAGAAGTAGACCCATTCACTGAAGGACTCTTCATCCCTTATAAACAACCTGAGAGAGCACAGTATCCCCATATTGATTAGAGACAAGTGAGGACATGGATTAGAAGGGTCCACCAATGTCACTGAACAAAAGTCCTGAAAGTTCACGGAGGACATCAGTACATCACGCCTGGAAGACTGTCTGACCAGTTGTGTGGAGCCTGCAGAAAGGGGGAGTGACCACCATGGGTGCTAATGGAAGGGGACACCCCGGGTAAAGGACACGTGGCCTCACCCCTGCCATGATCATGTGCTGTAGATGAGAGGTGGCATTGAAGTCAAGTCATGTAGGTGGGAAGAGAAGACACACAAGCCCACACACATGGCTCAAGCCCAAGATGGACTATCAGACGCCCAGACTCATCCTGAGTCTGATATGATGAGAATCACCCAAAGTCAGCCAGCCTCGGCATTATTCTGGTGGCCCAATCTCACATGATCTGCAGTGGGAGCAATCGGCTGCCCTCCTGGAACCAGCCCAGCCACCAGGCCCCAGGACAACCCCACAGGTATGAGTTCACTGGCGTCTCTGGTCAATCTCACGTGTACTGCAACCCTGGCCAAACCCAGGCCCAAGAGAGTCTTACAAATTTTCGATGAAGGCACACCAAAGCATGGGACCCTCTGAGGCCTAGGACCCAGGCAGGTGCCCTAAGGTGAATACTGTTGTTCACATTGTTACATATTCTCATTCATTTCACAGACTTTAGTTGAGCACCTTTTTTTTTAAGTTTGCCTAGGGAGTCATCAGATGAATCAAGCACAGCTAGTGATCTAACTAGCATTACTGATACAAATATTTGCCCAAAATTTGAAGTAAAAAATTCCGTTCCTCAAAAATTAAACATAGAATTACCATATAACCCAGCAATTCCAAGATATACACCTGGAAGAATCAAAGAGAAGGGACACCTGGGTGGCTCAGTTGGTTAAGTGTCTGCCTTTGGCTCTGGTCATGATCCCGGGGTCCTGGGGTCGAGTCCCACATCGGTCTCCTTGCCTGGGGAGCAAGCCTACTTCTCCCTCTCCCTCTGCTGCTCCCCCTGCTTATGAGCTCTCTCTCTCTGACAAATAAATAAAATCTTAAAAAAAAAAAAAAATCAAAGAAACCTACTCAAAGAAGTACACACACACATGCATGTTCATAACAGCATTATTCATATTCACAGTATGGTGGAAACAACCCAAGAATGCATCGAGGGATAGATGGATAAACAAATTGTGGTAAATCCATACAATGGAATATTATTCAGCCATAAAAAGGAATGAATTACTGATCATGCTGCAGTGCAAATAAATCTCAAAAATATCATGTTCAATGAATGAAGAAAGATACAAAAGGATGAATATTATGATTCCATTTACATAAAGTACCCAGAATAGGTAAATCCACAGAGACAGAAGGCAGATTGGTCAGTGCCAGGGGCAGAGAGGAGAAGGACGTGGAATGTAATTGCTTAACAGACAGAGGTTTCCTTTTGAGGTGATTAAAATGTTCTGGAAGTAGAGAGAGGTGGTGGTTGGACAACAGGGTCAATGTACTAAATGCCACACAATTGTTCACTTTAAAATGACTAATTGCATGTTATGTAAATTTCACCTCAATTTTCTTTTTAATCTCAGCTTCAAAGAGATTTATTCATAACATAGCTGACTGTAAGTAGTTATACTCAAAGATAAAATCAAGTCAACTGTGATAATTTGGGGTCATGTTTATGATTATTATTTCTCATTGAACAAAATATCAGTGAGAATATACCCCAAAGTACATCCAACTGGGCTAGTTTTCAGAGAAAAGAAATAATGTTGAGGGGGAAAAGATGCTGAAAGGAAAAAGAAGATCTATAGGAACAAAAGACCTGGAAAGAAAGACATTATATTTGTTTTTTACTTAAGAAAGGGACCTTTTAATCAAGAATTTTTATATACCAAGGAAAAGAAACATGCTCCAGCATTTGGCCTTGCAAACTATAATCAGAAATCCATTTTATAACAAGAACCCTAAAAATAGTACCTTACATGGTGGTCCTCAATAAAGATAATTGCTATCTGTTCAACCAACAAATATATTACAAGCAAAGATATAAAAATGAGCAACAAATATATTACAAGCGAAGATATAAAAGCAAGCACAATCTACAAATGTGCTTTGTTGTTTTGTATGTTGTTCAAGAGAATTTTGCTGGAAAGACAAAGCGGCAGTATGATTAATTCACATAGGAGTTTAATCTCATTACAACCATTACCTTCTAAGTGGAGATATAATGCAAACAATGCTGTATTTCTTTTTAGACTGCTCTTATCAATTCCAGATATTAAAATAATTATTTTAAGCTGTTATAGCCCACAGGCAGAACAAAATAGCATAGAAACTATAAAGCTTTGCAAAACAGAACCTATAAGTCATCAAACCGGGTTTATCACACCCCTGCCAGATAAAGAGGCTGATCATCAGTCAAGAAAGAAGCACATTAATCCTGAAGGAAGGAATATTTGCATTTCTATAATGCGAAATTACTCCTACACTAAAAGATTCGTGTTGTTGAAGGAACTTAATGTATTTCTCCCCAAAACAATTTTTTAAAGTACTTCAATCCTGGGATTTCTTTTGTAGAAAAATGAAACAAAAATCATCTACTTTCACAGTATAATAAATTTTTAGGAGTAATTGTTCTTCCACAGAGACAAAAAAGCTCCACTATTAACATGCCTGATTTTTCTAGATAATATTAAAAGCAATGCAATTACAGTTATGGTAATTGATATGGTTCTTACCTGATAATGATCAGGGGTCAAGAGTTTAAAACATAAAGCAGAACATGCTTTGCATTTTGTAAAGTCAAGTAAGCGATTTGAAGTTTGGCTTTGCTACTGCAGACCCTGGACTCTCAGCCCTAACAGAGGTAGGAATGAGAGAGAGTATTCCTATGAAAGTCCTTGTCCCTTCTTCTTTCATTACGGCTGTAATCTCCCCCACACCAGAACTGCTCTTTCCTTAGGAAGAGAGTGTAATTCTCAGTTATCTGGCCAAATGAGAGTCATGCGTAACAAGGCTAAATTAATTTCACGGTTAATCTCAAACCCCAGTTTCAGCCCCCTTTTATTAGTGTCCTAAGCTTCCTTATTAGATGAAACAGAAGCCAAATAAACA